CTGTGAACCATTATCCAAGCTTTCTGTACCTAAGAAAGAGCAAAAGAAAAAATTCAACATTTTGGCGCGAGCTTTTCGCAAGCAAGAAAGTCAAGACTTTCCCAAAATTTTACCTTTGAACAACTTTTGAACCATTCCCCAAGCTTTCTGTAGCTCTGTGAACCATTCTCTAAGCTTTCTGTACCTCTGAAAGAGCAACAGAAAAAAAATTCAAAAATAAGGCAAAAGATTAAAAAGAAAAGCTAAGAAACGTGAATGCATACCTTCCGTATTAAAGCAACAGTTCTTTACGATATATTTTGACATCTACTTGCATTTTTTCTTCATTTTTAGTTTACTTTTTGGAAGAGCGCGATAGAAATGACCCTTCGTTAACGGCGCTTTCCAAGTTCTGCCAAAAGAACCCCCAGCAGCGCTACGTCACTGAACTTTGGGCGGGAGATGCAATATCGACTTCTGATTGGCTACTATTAGTGATGACGTTGGAATCGTGGCCACATGTCATAAATGTCGGCTTCTGATTGGCTAGATCAGCACCTGCCTCGTCCCTCGTCGCTTCAGTTTCGAGCAGAGATCAGTGGGAGGACAATGGGGTTACATGAGGGCAATGGGGGTTATATGAGCCCACACGAAGGGGAGATCAGTGGGAGAACAATGGGGTTATATATGAGTGCAATGGGGTTATATGAGCCTACGCGAAGGGCTGGTGGCCCTCATAGTATGGTTGAATAAAAAAGCAGTCGAATTGATTTCAAACTAAACTTTTTAAAGGTTTTTCCACTTTAAATATGTAGTTCTAAACGAATATTCAAATGTCTGTTGGTTTTCCAAAATTTAGTTGACAAACTATGATTTGGAAGCCATATTAAATATGAATGTAATGAGTTGCAGGGAAGCCATAAAGTGCCACTTGCGAAAGGAATGGCGCCCTAGCAGTAGGGCCGATTTTTCTCATGTAAAACATGCAGTGAAAATTTATTCTATTGTTAAAGTCACGGACAGGCAACTTTCCTAAAACATTGCTGTTGGTTAGTTGGGCAAAAATACAATACACACGTGACGGTGAAGGGCCATATTTATGAATAAACGTTGACCAACATAGATAATGAGTTATATATTGTTATTCCAATGAGTTTCATAGCCATCTACCCTTTGATAGGCTATGCTCTAACCCTAACCAAAATAATAAAATAAAAATCCAAAAAGAATCAACTTTAGAAATGTATCAAATGATGTAACGTCAATTTGATGGTTGATGACACCGTTCCACTGAATTGTTAATATTAACTGGATTGCTGTAGTGGTTCACACAACAATGTTCGGCTCACGTTCGGATAGTTTCGAAACTTTTAGTTTGGGTGTCGGAAGGATTCGGATTTCCAGCGAGCTCTATATGTGACTGGATTGGCCATCTTCCCAGCCTGCATGGCAGGCTAAATTGCCCGTATCTGAGAACCACCTATTCGTATTAACATGAAGTAACTAGAGGTATGCGATAATCTGTGGGCTCGTGTTATTCTCAAATTCAACATGGCGATGGCGTGCTCATGAAACGATTTGAATTTCAAAACTCCATTTTCTTGTTTTTGGAGAGAAATTGTCCCTTCTTTATGATATTTTAAAGCTGATTGGAAGACAAGGTATTGTCCTGTACATATTGTAGTTATTTATATACTGTTTATTGGCTAGAATCGTGCGAATAATTGCTGGGAGATTGTGTTTTGAAAATGGTCAATTTTTAATTTATAAATTGTTATTTTCTTTTATATTATTTTGATCACTCCCGTTCACAGAATCACGTGCCAGTATAGTTTTGTGATTCTAACCAGTTCATGTGGATAATTTGTCTTGTGTTTAGACTATTTAAGAAAGATCCTTCTCAAGTATTAAAATCATGCTATTGTGTTGTTCAACTTTCAGATATCTGTATAAAACATGCCAAGGCCAAAGAAAACTGAGGAACCAAGCGAACCAGATCCCAAGTATGCTGACTGGATCCTTGCGGCAATTGGGAAAGTCCGTCATCAGAAACAACGCCCCAACGAGGAACGTATAACGCACATACTCAAGATAACGTATGGCGTTGATACGGCAACCGTTGTAGAACAGTTAGATCTTTGTGTTAAAGCTGGTCGTATCATTCGTGGGGATTTTAAAGGGAAGTCGTCGTATAAAGATCCTTCTGTTCTAACGCCTGGAACCGGTAAATCACCCCGGATGCCATCAGACCTCAATAAGTGCATCAAGAAAGCAATCAAAAGTGAAGGTACTATACTACCATACTAAGTACTGTAGGTGGTAGTACAGTACTGTACTACCATACTGTACTGTACTGTACTACCGATTAAGGATGAACGGCTACAGGTAAAACATTGTTTATTCTCATGACAAACTTCAATGTTTTTACCGTCAATGTTCAATGTTTGTGATGGTTTTAATAGACCTTTCCCCTTATGAGTGAAATTTTGATCTAGATATGCCTGGACCAAAATTTCACACGTCACAGCTTGAAAGAGCATCACAAAATTAGTAATATTCCGAAGTTTAGTTGCGAAATGTTGTAAAATGCGGATAATACAGCAGCCTTGCGAAGTTTGCCGTTTTTCAGTAATTTTGCATTACAAATGGGAAATTGGTAATCAGATGATCAAACTGATTATCAATTTCCCATTTGTAATACAAAATGACTGAAAAACGGCAAACTTCGCAAGGCTATAATGTATTATCCGCATTTTACAACATTTTGCAATAAAACTAAGGAATGTTACTAATTTTGTGATGCTGTTTCAAGCTGTGATGAAATTTTTGTCCAGACTTGTCTAGATCAAAATTTCACTCAAAAGGGGAAAGGTCTATTCAATCAGCTGGGAGCTGGTTGAACATGATTGGCTGATCAGATTATGAGATTAAAACATGTCACATGCTCTTAACAAACATTGAACTTTCTCAGTAAAAACATCGGACTTTGAGCAACTGTTCATCCTTAGTTGCAAGTGACGGTATATGATCTTGAAAAAAACTGGTGCTGTGCACCAGGAATTATCTATATTTCTGAGATTGATTGTTGAGAAAATACGCACTTTACAAATTATATACATTGCACATCAATACATGTTGCATTTTAACGCAATATGTTAAACTAACGTGTGAAGCGTGCCATTTATTAATGGTTTTAACAATCTTTGGTTGCTCCAGTAACATGTCATGTTGGAAATTATCATAAAAAAATTGACATGAATGATGTCACCTTTACTCGGTCGACTGATATTATGACGTCATTATAAAATCGGTATCGGTTAGATTGTGGCATGATTAATCGGTAATCGGTAATTTCCGATTCAATTGGTCAATCACTACTTTTTGAAACTCGCTAATAGCGTCAACATAAATTAATCAAAGTCAGTGGCGGACACTAGTTTGAAAGACTGTAAAAATCTTGTACCAAATAACACAAATCACACTCGTATAGTTTCTGTACATGTCACAACATATGCATTTTATACACTCTTTTTGACAGATACTAGGGGGTTAACTTTTTGCAACAGGCACAATTTCTTTTTACATTGTCATTGGCGTGTTAATTAAATTAAACCACCTTGCAATTCCATTCACAAATGTCAATAATCATATAAATATTTTCTCTGAAATGTTGGTTTTCTATGCTTAGCATGTGATTTATAACAAAACGCACCATTAAAACAGTGTTTTGAAACCCTAGTTTTTTACAAAATGTGTTCTCAGAATGCTGCAAATGCCATTTCCAGGATTCAAATTTTAAAATTTTCCCATGCCTTTGGCATGAGCCCTCCCAATATTTCGTAAAGTGTCCGCTACTGATCTAACTTTACTTAAATACTAGCCTGCGAACAGGCTCTCAAACTGAATTGAGAGCCTGCATCGATAACAAATGAATTTGAATATCTGCCGCGTAACGTTTGTTTTTCCAAATATGGAGTGTCTATCCTTATATGGTGTTGTTTACAACTTTCGTGCAAACTAAATTTAGACCGTACAGTTTTCGAAATATAAGATTTAAAATATAAGACTGTTTCGAAATATAAGACTGTTTTCTCAAATCAGAACATTTCGTGCTTTGAGATAAGATGGGCAAAACCAATTTGATCATTTAATGTGTTTTTTATGCATTTAAGTGCTGCAGTTGACATATATAGAGCTCAGCGGAAACATATAAATTATAGCATCTGACCAATGAGAATTTCACATGACAATTTGAGACGCAGATATTCGAATTCATTAGTCATCGATGCAGGCTCTCAATTCAGCTTGACAGCCTGTTCGCAGGCTACTTAAATACCTATCATCAATTAATTCAATATTTACTATTCATAAAAGGCGATGAAGGTGCAACGACATCGTGCATAGAAAAATACCTAAAGGAAAACTTTCCAGAAAAGATCGAAGCTGTCACAGACCTCACGATGGCCATCAGGTATGCCATCCAGCGAGGCATCAGTAGCGGACGCTTTGTGAAGGAAGGTCGCTATGTGAAACTCTCGGACAAGTACCAGGCAAGAGACGCCGAGAAGTCCGCAACCAAGGAGCCCAAACCCAGCGTACAGAGGGAAATATTCAAGGAGAGGGGAAAGGTTTTTTATTTAATGTTTCTTCAATTTTCTTTCGACTTGCAAAGCTTTAGAACGATGATTTATTAACCCAATAAGCTGCAGAGCTTCCTCATTGACGAGTAAAATTGTCTGGCGTAAGACAAGTAAAAAAATAAGTAGGGCACATGGTGGCTCAATGGGTTAACTAGCGACATTGTCCGATTTTTTGGTTATAACCAATTAAGCTGCAGAGCTTCCCCATTGATGAGTAAAATCGTCCGGTGTTATACAAGCAAAAATAAAAAAGTAGGGCGCATTGCAGTTCAATGGGTTAACCCTTCAAGTGGCAATGCGCCCTACTTTATTATTTTACTTTGTCTAACACCAGGCAATTTTACTCATCAGGGGGAAAGTTCTGCCAACTCAATGGATTAGTCAAATTATCTGCCCATTCACCCTATTAAACCTTTAAGTGGCAATGCACCCAGATGCACCCTACTTTATTATTTTGCTCTGTCTAATGCCAGATGATTTTACTTGTCAGGGAGAGAGTGCTGCCGCTCAATGGGTTAACCCATCAAAAACCAGCACTTGCCCCTTGACAGTTAATTTAAAATTTTCTGGCATTAGACAGAGTAAAAGCTTCACTGTCTGTTGGTTAATCAGTTGGTCATTCAGTCATTTTTTATTTTCACAATTTCATTTTAAATAGCCAGCACCTCCGCCACCAGCCCCATCAAAGAAACCCAAGGCACAACCCAGTCCTCTGTGTGGATTTTGTTTGGGCACGGCCGAGAAGAACCGAGATGGCGTTCCCGAAGTTCTCATTTCATGTGCCGACTGTGGGAATAGCGGTAAGGTGGACACAATAGGGCCATTTATACTGGACAAAATAAGTCGCGACTTACATAAGACGCGTCTTATATAAGCGGAGTTATCGTATAAATGGTTCTCTATGGCTCTAGTCTTATTTACTTGCTATAGCTATAATATTGCCTTAGTTGTTTTTGTTTTAATATGCAAGGCTAATAATTTTACGTTGTTTCAAGTTTCCGGCATGTGTAGACTTTTTATCCAAAATGTCTTATTTAAGACGCGACTTAAATATTAAGAACAGTTAAAAATCCTGTTCTTATTTAAGTCTAGTCTTATCCAAAACGCGTCTCACCCAAGAATTTTGTACCTTTTATACGACAAACTTGTGTCTTATTTAAGTCGCGTCTTATGTAAGTCGCAACTTATTTTGTCCGGTATAAATGGCCCTATTATCTTCTAATATAATCAGGGTCTGAAATTTGCAGTATCCCGATATACCACCGGATACCAAAAATTTGGCTTTGGATACCAAACTCTGAATGACCTAAAAAATTTCAAACATGAAAATGTTAAACACCTTTGACGGGCTCCTGATAGCTTTTGAATACTATCAGTTTGCCAGCAGTCTCTCCTCATTGAGGACCAGCGTATAGAAGTTTGTTGAAGGATTATGTGCATTTTAGTGTATTAACCCATTAAGCCGCAAAGCGCCCCAGTGCACCCTATACTTATTTTATTTACTTGTCTAATGCCCAGGGCTGCAAATAAATATTTGACTTGACAGGACATTTGTCCGATCACTTTTAATTTTGGTCGGACATAACTTGAATTTGGTCGGACAAAAACCAACATGACAAAATTCAGTAGGACATATATATATATATATATATATATATATATATATATATATATATATATATATATATATATATATATATATATATATATATATATATATATATATATATATATATATATATATATATATATATATATATATATATATATATATACTATATATATATATATATATATATATATATATATATATATATATATATATATATATATATATATATATATATATATATATATATATATATAATATATATAATATATATAATATATATAATATATATATATATATATATATAATATATATATATATATATATATATATATATATATATATATATATATATATATATATATATATATATATATATATATATATATATATATATATATATATATAAATATATATATATATATATATATATATATATATAAAATATATATATATATAAAATATATATATATATATATATATATAAGTCACAAGACAACTGGCGCAACGTTAAGTAAAATTAAATGCTAGAACGCCTCGTAAATTTTATTGCAAAATGCAAATTGAGTGAATTTGCAATCGGATTTTGTCACAGCAAAAAAATGTATAATGGTTAATGTGACAATTTTTTTTTGTGATCGGACCAATGTCCGATCAAAATTACTTTTGCTCGGACATTTGCCAAATTTGGTCGGACATTGTCCGATGTCCGACAGTAATTTGCGGCCCTGAATGCCAGACAATTTTACTTGTCAATGGGAAAGCTCTGCAGCTTAATGGGTTAATGACTTGTTTAGTTGTTGACTGTTGAGTCTTCTGTTGTTACCAGTATTCAGAAGTGGGATACCGGATTCTCAGGGGGATACTAAACTTTGATTCCTGGTATCTCGGTTGGATGTACTGAGAAAAAATATAAATTTCAGACCTTGAATTATAATATTTGCACTCAGATTGCTACAAAGAATTCAAGTTTTATTGTCATTCATTCAGGTCACCCAACATGCCTGAAGTATTCACCGGAGCTAACGGAAAAGGTCCAGGCAGAGCGATGGCAATGTATCGAGTGTAAAGTCTGTTCTGTTTGTATGTCTGCAGGCAATGCGGTATGTTCACTGTGAACTCATTCTGAATCACGTTGAAACTTGCGACAATATTCTGTACTATTACTGAAATGTTGTTTTGCTTTGCAGGACAATCTTTTATTCTGTGACGCGTGTGACAAGGGATTTCATATGGAATGTCTTCGACCACCAATGACGGATATGCCTTCAGGTAGACTAAAGATAATATCTGTTTTGCACTCACCATGTCCAGATATCTTTTTCAGGTACTGTAGTTCAGGTGCAGACCAACACAGGTTATTGTAGAATACTACCTGCAAGTGCCTGAAGGTAAAAAATTTCAAGAACTCAGTTTTCAAATGCCAAAACTCCGTTTTCAAATGCCAAAACTCAGTTTTCAAATGCCAAAACTCCGTTTTCAAATCCCATAACTCAGTTTTCAAATGCCAGAACTCAGTTTTCAAATGCCAGAACTCCGTTTTCAAAGGCCAGAACTCCCTTTTCAAATGCCAGAACTCCCTTTTCAAATGCCAGAACTCCCTTTTCAAATGCCAGAACTCCCTATTCAAATGGCAAAACTCCCTTTTCAAAAGCCAGAACTTCGTTTTCAAATGCCAAAACTGCGTTTTCAAATGCCAAAATTCCGTTTTCAAATGCCAAAATTCCGTTTTCAAATGCCAGAACTCCCTTTTTAAATGCCAAAACTACGTTTTCAAATGCCAGAACTCCCTTTTCAAATGCCAGAACTCCCTTTTCAAATGCCAAAACTACGTTTTCAAAAGCCAGAACTACATTTTCAAAAGCCAGAACTCCCTTTTCAAATGCCAGAACTCCCTTTTCAAATGCCAGAACTCCCTTTTCAAATGCCAGAACTCCCTTTTCAAATGCCAGAACTCCGTTTTCAAAAGCCAGAACTCCCTTTTCAAATGCCAAAACTACGTTTTCAAAAGCCAGAACTCCCTTTTCAAATGCCAGAACTCCCTTTTCAAATGCCAGAACTCCCTTTTCAAATGCCAGAACTCCCTTTTCAAATGGCAAAACTCCCTTTTCAAAAGCCAGAACTCCCTTTTCAAATGCCAAAACTCCGTTTTCAAATGGCAAAACTCCGTTTTCAAAAGCCAGAACTCCCTTTTCAAATGGCAAAACTCTTTTTTCAAATGCCATAACTCAGTTTTCAAATGCCATAACTCCGTTTTCAAAAGCCAGAACTCAGTTTTCAAATGCCATAACTCCGTTTTCAAATGCCATAACTCCGTTTTCAAATGCCAGAACTACGTTTTCAAATGCCAGAACTACGTTTTCAAATGCCAGAACTACGTTTTCAAATTCCAGAACTCCGTTTTCAAATGGCAGAACTCCGTTTTCAGATGCCAGAACTCCGTTTTCAAATGGCAGAACTCCCTTTTCAAATGCCAGTACTTCCTTTTCAAATGGCAAAACTCCCTTTTCAAATGCCAAAACTACGTTTTCAAATGCTAAAACTACGTTTTCAAATTCCAGAACTCTCTCTTCAAATGCCAGAACTTCGTTTTCAAATGCCAAAACGCCGTTTTCAAAAACCAGAACTCCCTTTTCAAATGCCAGAACTTCCTTTTCAAATGGCAAAACTCCGTTTTCAAATGCCAAAACTACGTTTTCAAAAGCCAGAACTCCGTTTTCAAATGCCAGAACTCCGTTTTCGAATGCCAAAACTACCTTTTCAAATGCCAGAACTCCGTTTTCAAATGCCAGAGCTTCGTTTTTAAAAGCCAGAACTCAGTTTTCATGAAACTTTTCGACTAATTGGGTTTGAGCAAATTAGTGGACACTCAATTTTGACAATATGAAACAAAACTCAGATTATTGTAGAATACTACCTACACTGGACCACCACGTTTGAGATATCTTTTTCAGGTAGTTCAGACACAAACCACGACAGCTTATTGTAGAATACTACCTATACACTGACCAACCACGTTTGAGATATCTTTTTCAGGTAGTTCAGACGCAAACCACGACAGCTTATTGTAGAATACTCATAGAGATTATAAATAACACTAGAGGAGGCATCGAGTACACCAATGGGAACACGAATACACATCCGGGACTTGAATTTGCCCCCCAATAGTCGCGTTCCCTTTTTTTTACTGAATTAAGATTACAATGCCTCCTCTAGTGTTATTTATAATCTCTATGAGAATACTACCCACACTGGACCACCACGTTTGAGATATCTATTTCAGGTAGTTCAGACACAAACCACGACAGCTTATTGTAGAATGCTACCTACACTGGACCACCACCTTTTGAGATATTGTTTTTCAGGTAGTTCAGACACAAACCACGACAGCTTATTGTAATACTACCTACACTGGACCACCACGTTTGAGATATCTTTTTCAGGTAGTTCAGACACAAGCCATGCATGTCAGTTTAATATCCTATATCTTGTGTTGTTTCAAGGTTCATGGATATGTTTTATGTGTACTTCGAAACCCTCACCAAAGAAAAGGAAGGCAATCATCACAACACCACCGCGGAGGAAAATACAACACACGCCAAACGATTCCAAAGAGTATGTTGATGCACTACCCTTGATAAAGATAGCGAATGAACAATCAGTATTTATTCATTGTTTTTCATTATTTTTATTTTATTCGTGTTTCCGATTTTTTATCGTTTGCTAGACTTGGTGTTTGTCCGACCGAAGGATGTGATGGTAGTGGTCATTCCTCTGGAAAATATACAACTCATCGCAGGTAACTTGTCTGTATTGCTTGTCTGTTTGTCTGTTTGTCTCCGCGTCTGCCTATAAACTGTACCACGTCTGTGGTATACAGTATATATTAGAGACTTTACGATTTTAGAACGGCAACGCGACGAAGACGGCCAAAAAACTCCTTCAAATAAATGGTATTAAAGATAATTTGTCGTATATTATCAATCGTATGAATTTAATACATACAGTCTTAGAAGTTGAAGACATGTGTTTTATGTTTGGGAAGAGTTCTCCTGAACCCAGTTTGAAGTTGCACTTGTTGCGGCTTGAAATGCAGCCGTTGTATCAAGACGTGAAAATCTGTGATTTGGCGTTGTAAACAGAGCGAGGACAATGTCTAAATTATTCATATATTGTATTTTTTTCAATTCTTTTCAATGATTTATTGTATTGGTAGCCGAGGCCGTCGCGTTGCCGTCCTAAATCGTAAGGTCTCTATTCTGAAGCAAGCCGCCGTGTTTTAAACGTGGAGGTCCTATTGTGGTTTGCAAAGGTGGGTCGACTACAAAATTTCTGTAGTTCGTTATAACTACAGCTACTTCAAAAATATGTAGTCAGCTACAACTACTGCTACTTTTGAACAAAGGTAGTTCGCTACTGACTACAGCTACTGCTTAAAAAATGTAGCCAACTATTTCGCTATTTCGCTGCGCCATATTTTGTAGTTTTACTGTATTTAGAGCACCTACTAACTCAGGCTGAAATGTAATCTATAACAAATCGACTTACGAGTAGCAACAATAAACACAAAGCAACATTTTTGTAAGCACTACAGTGTTCAGGAGTGCAAATTGACTATTGAGTATTGATTTTAAGCAAACCGTGTCTCAATATCATGCTATTCTATCAAGTTGCTAACAATTTTGAAAAGTAGCGAATAGCGATTCGCTGTTTGAAAAGTAGTCAACTACTTGGCTACTTTTAGGCATACTATGTTTTAGGCAAAATGTAGTTCGCTATAACTACAGCTAAAGTGGTCAAAAACTACTGGCTACTTGAAAATTGTAGTTCGCTACAGTAGCGAACTACAACTACTTCGCTACTACCCACCCTTGACTAGTTTGTGACTGAACTACCTGAAAAAGTTGGAAAATACTTTTCTCTTCTGTTTTTTACTCCTGCAGCTTGTACGGTTGTCCAATTGCTCAATCTTTGAAAAAGAGACATCAGATCGCAGAGCTCTCGCTGTCACCGGAGAAAGTGAAAGAAACGACAGATGTTACACCAAAAAGAAGAGGCAAGGTCGGTCGACCTCGTTCGTCACCAAAATCACCCACACACAAACGACCACCATTACCACCAGGTGAGTGTTGAACTTAACTGAGGACTATCTATATCAAACCCGGTGTTACAGCTGATAGTGCCCTCATAGTCCAGTCAATCTGTGACCAGAGGTCAAAGAAATTGCAATAGAATTTTTCTCAGTGGTAAAATGTGAGGGAAGGTGTCCCGATTAACATACTAAAAATCCCAAAAAATCCCTTCGGTGGAACATGGCGAAAATCAAGTTTTTCTTACTTCTACCTATAGAAAACCATTGTGGACAGAATGTTCAAATTTTGAAATAATTTTTAGGCAAATGTAACATACGATATTTGTGGTGTTACTCTGAGTGTATATCCACACCGGGCGAGCTTGAAAAATATGCCCGGCCACGGTGGGATTCGAACCTACGAACCTAGGTTCGAATCCCACCGTGGGCGGGCATATTTTTCAAGCTCGCCCGGTGTGGATATACACTCAGAGTAACACCACAAATATCATATTCACCTGAGTACACTACACCAACACAGAAAAAATTCAAATGTAACATACATTATTGGAAAGCTTAAACAAAACTATATTAAGGTCAATTAAGCGGTTATTTTCAATTTACTGAATTTGGTCTGTTTGTCGTTATTCTAGCTGAAAGTTGGAAAAATAGCGCAAAATTTGCACAAAATACAAATTTATGACATTTTAAATCTTGTATAACTTCGGCTGGATAGGCAAAAGCAAGGTAACTGTTTAATGATCTATATTTTAGTTTTTTTCTAAGCTTTCCAATGATGCAGGTTTATTTGCAAAAAAATAATTTCAAAATTTCAACATTTTGTCCGCAATGGTTTTCTATAGGTAGAAGTAAGAAAAACTTGATTTTCACCATGTTCCACCGAAGGGATTTTTTAGGATTTTTAATATGTTAATCAGAACAACTTTTGCGATTACTTTGATCAGGACCATGCATGTACTTATAGTGATTTGACTGGACCATCACTGCCCTGTTTGATTTCACATAACGTAAAATTCAGAAAGGACTAACTTAGATTTTGATATGTAGCACTTGAATTTACATGCAATAATGAGCGAGACACAACCAAAATAAAATATTTATTATTTAACAAGTATAACTACGTCGGTAATTGGTTGTTTTATGCTAATTTTTTGTATTTTCAAAAACACTAGTTCAACGTTCAAACATCAATGGCGCAGTCAATATTGCGTGTAAATTCAAGTGTTATACAGGGTGTATCAAAAAAAGCGCAATCCTCGACTGAAATGTAAATTGCTAAACAAATAATAGACGAAAACGTTAAAGTTTACATTCATTTTAAAGCGTAGCCATCCCGCTTTCTAACAGTGGGTTGTTTCTTAAATTTGACTCATTGGTTCGCGGGTAATAATACTTTACGTTCTTGCGATTGGAGATTAAAAAAATTGAGATGGAATAACTAAACGTTCTCATGAAAATAACTGATTTTTTCATTAAAACAAAAAAATGTTGCATTTTATTAAATGGATTGTAACAATAAGTATAATTACGGCTTTTCTTCCACTATTTTTAACTCAGTTTGAAACTTCAAATGCGATATAATTTTGGCTTGGACCATCTAGCTGACTGACATCAACTTGCTATAATTTCTGTTTACATTACATCGCAATTCGATGACACTCTGGCTCAGACACCAGAATGTTTTGACGATTTTTAGCATTCATTTAGGATTTTCAAACAACCTGGTCTCTTTTAAAATACTTTTAATTTGTTCTTAATTTTACGTGGTTTTCCAGATGTAGTGACGACAACATTAAAGTTTAAAGAAGAAAATTCTAACATTTAGCCTAAACCGACTAAACAATAACATGGTAAACTTGCATAATTAAACAGCAACTAAAAATGATATGTTTTACTAAATCTTTTCCTGTGCAATTATTACTAGCATTGGAGACAAGGATAATAGTTTGTTTGAAAGAGAAAAGAACAGGCTTTGAAGTAAGCCTAAAAGCGTTTAACTAGAAATAGTATTTCGAAAGTTATTAAGCACAAAAGATGAATTGCGTTTATTTTGATACACCCTGTATATCAAATCTAAGTTTGTCCTTTCTGAATACAATGATCTTTATTTCATTGCAATAGCTTTTCTAGCTTTTACGTTTCATGAAATCAAACAGTGTCACCTGGGACACCCGGTACATTTGATGCTAGTTTTAACACACAATCAGCTTACGTCAGTAAGCAATGTCAGGGGTTTTTTCAGGGATTTTTTAGGGCCGTAAAACGGCCCCCAAAACTCAATCTTGAATTGAGTTTTGAAACTCAATCTTCTCATCAAAAGATTTTGTGCAGTAAAATGAAGTTGTTTGAGTTAAATTCATGACGTGTGCAAATTAGTTTTCAGTTGAAAACCCGAAAATTAAGTAAAAAATGGCTGGAATTCATTTCACATCACAAGAAAAACAACACATTTGCCGTCTTAAACCAGTTTATAGTGTCCCTTCGTGCCCCTGCTTTAACACATTGCATCTCAAATACATTAAAGTGGGCACAGGTTTCAACCTCCCGGTAGGGGGGGGGGGGAGACAGCCACCCCAGACTTCAGCTGTTCAGCTAAACTCAATCTTCTCTGCAAAAACGGACCCAAGAGAAAATCCTGGGGAAAAAACCTGAATGTATTTTTAATAATAAATCTATCCATCTATCGCCTATGTAATCACAGATTCATTTCCCTCAGGTGTGACGGAAGAAGATTATCTGTTATTCAAGAAAGCGCAAGAAAACGCAAGCAGCGAAATGGGTGTTCAACCTGACGCTGATCCAGGATCCAATTCACGCTCACCACCGTTCATTCAGTTCGGACCTTATGAGATCACCACGTGGTATTCGTCACCATACCCCCAGGAATATGCGCAGTAAGTACGACCCACAATCTATATATTATATCTGAAATAATCCTGAGCCTCCAGCCCTCCACATGGCATATACTGTATATGTGATATTTGGAAAGACGATACAATTAAAACACGTCTTTATTTTAGACTTCCCAAACTTTATCTTTGTGAATTCTGCCTCAAGTACATGAAGAGCATTAGCATATTACAGCGACATAAGGTACAGTATGACCTTCTGCATTGAGAACTAACTTTATTATTTATACTGGATAGCTCTATCAGTTCTAAACTGTTCTTCCTACAGGTCCAGTAAGGATCATCTCTTATTGATCCAGTGTTACTACAGGAGGAAACCTAAACTAAACTAACTTTATTTATACTGGATTACTCTATCAGTTCTGAACTGTTCTTCCTACAGGTCCAGTAAGGATCATCTCTTATTGATCCAGTGTTAGCACAGGAGAAAACCTTAACTAAACTAACTTTATTTATACTGGATAGCTCTATCAGTTCTAAACTGTTCTTCCTACAGGTCCAGTAAGGATCATCTCTTATTGATCCAGTGTTAGCACAGGAGGAAACCTAAACTAACTTTATTTATATAATAACTATAGTGAAACACGCAATTTGATTGGTCAATAGCCGTGCAGGATCAGGCTATCCTGCACGAGGAATTAAAACGCCTTCGCGGGATTTTCGCGGGATTCTCTCAAAATATCATTGTTTCACTGTAGTTATTTTATAAAACAATTACCAAATGGTTTTCCAAGCATGATAGCGTGATCCATGCACTTGGGATATTGCTCGACTTTCGGAAAGCGTAAAATACACTCGCCTGCGGCTCGAGTATTTTTACGCTTTCCGAAAGTCTCGCGACATCTCTCGTGCATGGATCACGCAATCCTGCACGGAAAACCATTCGGTATTCCTTTATTATACTGGATTGCACTATCCTAAACTGTTCTTCCTAAAAGTCCAGTAAAAGTCATCTCTTATTGATCCAGTGTTAGCGCAGGCGGAAACCTAAACTGAACTAACTTTATTTATACTGGATGACTCTATCAGTTCCAAACTGTTTTTCATAGAGGTCCAGTAAGAGTCATCTCTTATTGATCCAGTGTTATCACAGGCGAAAACTTGAGCACCAGAAGAAAGTCTGCAGCGTTTGATAGAGCCGTTTGTTTTATTCATGTTATTTTGACATTTCAGACCAAGTGTGGATGGTTCCATCCCCCTGCTAACGAGATTTATCGCCATGATGATATTTCTGTGTTTGAGGTTGACGGAGCAGTGAACAAGGTAAGAAAAGGCCTGGGTACGTAACATCCTAATGTAATGAAACATGTTGACAGGGTGGGTTAGGCACATAGGATAGGTCTGGAGGCAGATCATTAATGAGGTATGGACTAATAGCGGCAGCTGCTCAAGCGCCATTTGTAAGCTCAAAGTCTACCTCGGTCTGCTTCACGTCAGTCCGGTTCTATCTATCTATTCATAATGTAACCAGTCACTGAAAAGCCCTGTTAGGGAGTGTGCTGTGAAATATCTGTATCTGTATCTGCATGTACAATTGGCTAATCTTTGAATGTGAAGGATTCATTATTCCTTCATGTCTAGCATTCAGCCTAGATCATACATCGAGCTGTGTTTGGTTAGTTGATCTGATTCCAGTGAAGATCTAACTCTAGGATACAGCCACATTTATTATCGATGGAAATATATTTTATTAAAATATATCGTTATACTAGATAGCTCTTTCAGTTCTAAACTGTTCTCCCTAGAGGGCCAGTAAGGGGTCATCTCGAATTGAGCCAGTATTACTACAGGACGAAACCTAAACTAAACTAACTTTATTTATACTGGATAGCTCTATCAGTTCTAAACTGTTCTTCCTAGAGGTCCAGTAAGGGTCATCTCTCATTGATCCAGTGTTACTACAGCAGGAAATCTAAACTAAACTAACTTTATTTATACTGGATAGCTCTATCATTTCTAAACTGTTCTTCCTAGAGGTTCAGTAAGAATCATCTCTTATTGATCCAGTGTTACTACAGGAGGAAACCTAAACTAAACTAACTTTATTTATACTGGATAGCTCTATCAGTTCTAAACAGTTCTCCCTAGAGGGCCTGTAAGGGTCATCTCGAATTGAGCCAGTATTACTACAGGAGGAAACCTAAACTAAACTAACTTTATTTATACTGGATAGCTCTATCATGCAGTTCTAGACCGTTCTCGCTAGAGATCCAGTAAGTATCATTTCTTATTGATCCAGTGTTACTACAGGAAGAAACCTAAACTAAACTAACTTTATTTATACTGGATAGCCCTATTAATTCTAAACTGTTCTCCCTAGAGGTCCAGTAAGGATCGTCTCTTATTGACTCAGTGTTACTACAGGAGGAAATCTAAACTAAACTGAACTAAACTAAACTAACTTAATTTAAAGTATACATAGCTCTATCAGTTCTCTTGGTGGTGAAATTTCATATGTTCTCACAATGTTTTGTATTTATCATTTCTTTTGTAAAGATTTACTGCCAAAACCTGTGTCTGTTGGCCAAATTATTCCTGGATCACAAAACTCTTTATTATGACGTCGAGCCGTTCTTATTCTATGTGTTGACATTAAACGACAGAAAAGGTTGTCATCTTGTTGGCTATTTTTCTAAGGTAAGAAAATATTAAATTATCAACTAATTCTATTGATACTGGGTGGCTTCTGTTCTCCCAAGAGGTTCTGTAATACCTTGATCCAATGAACTGCAACTACATCAGGATACCTTTACCAAACTAACTTTTAAACTGCATATAGCTCTATCAGTTTTTAATTGCTCTCCTTTGAGGTCCAGTAAGGATCATCTCTTATTGATCCAATATTACTACAGGAGGAAACCTAAACTAACTTTATTTATACTGATTAATTCTCTCAGTTCTAAATGCATTGAAATCTTAATTGTCTAGCATTATAAGGTATTTACACTGAATGATCCTTTCTTAAACCAGGAAAAAGCTTGCCAACAGAAGTACAATCTGTCTTGTATCATGACGATGCCTCACTACCAAAGACAAGGATACGGAAGACTGTTGATAGATTTCAGTAAGTAACCTGTAAACCAATATATCTACAATCGTGGACAAAACTGTTAATAAAACTAATTAATATCATAATGAAATTGCATTAACCAAATTGTATTCCACATTCTGCCCCCCTTTCCCCCATTCAATGTTGGATTCGCCATCCCCACACTATAGACCCATTACTGCAACATTGTTCCGGGGGGAGAGGGGGCCTATGTGGCATGATGCGCATGTATTAACGAATATTGAACAAAAATGTACATAACTGCGAGTTTTATTAACAGGTTTTGTCCACGATTGTATCTACTGTATCTATGCTTTGAGCCAGTCAGAGATAGCGGACGTCAAGTCTAAACCTCCGTTAATGATTTAAGACTAGAAGTTACTTTCGCAAGGAACGTTCTGTCTCACCCCCAAGGGATCAAAGGCTGCATGCACAATTTGCTGAAGAAGGGGCTGTTCATATGATTCCGCTTTGCCAGGACGAAATATGAGGCGGGACGATTTCGATGTATTGCAGTCAGTCATGGTGCACAATTCAGTAAAAAAATTTATTATTTTACAAGGTTCCTTGACTGTTTTTTAAGGAATTTTATTTCATTTTTTCTAGGCTATTTGTTATCAAGGATTGAAGGTCAGTCGGGCTCACCCGAGAAACCTCTGTCAGACCTAGGGTTACTCACATATCGCAGTTATTGGAAAAGTGTAATCATGGAATATTTCAGTAAACATAAAGATTCGCAAGTAACTATTAGAGGTATGGTACAGTTATAGTACTGTACTTTAAGTAATATTTCAAATTCAACTATGAGAACTGGACTAGATTTCAAGTCCGCACAATTTGATTACAATTTGATTTGAATGAAAATCCAGTCAGAATTGGAGGATTTGAAATGACATCTTGTATGAATACATCACTGGTTAAAGTGAGGCGTAATTTTGACCCAGTCCTATAAAGACTGGATCAATATACTTTACCGTACCAGGTATCCAGTAAAATAAAGTAATATGGTTGGCTAATTTTCTCATGAGTTATTAATGAGTTTGAGATCAATATGTACTGTATTGTTGATGTTAAAAATCAACTGAACATTCTCGCATGAAGTTTGTGATGGCATCCATTTTTCGCATGAAGTTTGTGATGGTATCCATTTCTCGCATGAAGTTTGTGATGGCATCCATTTCTCGCATGAAGTTTGTGATGGCATCATTTCTCGCATGAAGTTTGTGATGGCATCATTTCTCGCATGAAGTTTGTGATGGCATCCATTTTTCGCATGAAGTTTGTGATGGCATCCATTTCTCGCATGAAGTTTGTGATGGTATCCATTTCTCGCATGAAGTTTGTGATGGTATCCATTTCTCGCATGAAGTTTGTGATGGCATCCATTTCTCGCATGAAATTTGTGATGGTATCCATTGCTCGCCTGAAATTTGTGATGGCATCCATTTCTCGCATGAAATTTGTGATGGCATCCATTTCTCGCATGAAATTTGTGATGGCATCCATTGCTCGCATGAAGTTTGTGATGGCATCCATTTCTCGCATGAAATTTGTGATGGTATCCATTGCTCGCATGAAATTTGTGATGGCATCCATTTCTCGCATGAAATTTGTGATGGCATCCATATCTCATTGTCTCTGTAGATGTATGCAAAGCCACTGGGATGGACCCACACGACATAGCGGCCACACTACAAGTCCTGAATATGGTGGTCAAGAAGGACGACAAGTAAGCTTTATTTTACAATTGATTTCACGAACCGTTTGCCAAAAATTTCGTAGTTTCCCGTTTTGCTACAAAAGTTGATCATTAAGTTAGCACGCAATTTCAAAACGTGAATATGAATTTCACCATGCATCGAGTTCTAGAAACAAACTCTTTTATTGGCTAAACAGCTAGTGACAAACATTAGTTAGCTTAATACAAGGCTGTTTGTGAAATGTGAAATTCATAGTACACCAGCTTGGCCAAACAAACTTCTCGACAAACTTGCCAACTTTGCAGCGACAGTCAAGATTTCCAATCAATCTTCAGCAACAAACTCTTTTATTGGCTAAACAGCTAGTGACAAACATTACTTAGCTTACAAGGTTGTTTGTGAATTTCATAGTACACCAGCTTGGCCAAACAAACTTCTCGACAAACTTGCCAACTTTGCAGCGACATTCAAGACTGCCAAACAATCTTCAGAAAGAAATTTGTCGCCAAAGTTTCGTGTGGTCAGCTGTTTAAAACGTACACTAACTTTCTTTCTAGTGGAAAGCTCTATCAGTTCTAAACCAGGCCTCGAATTTCCCTGAAATCAATCGACGGCAATGGCGTTAAAAATTGCTGTAGAAGGTAACAGAGCTGTCTACGGCAATTTTGGCAGTTTCCACGGCATTTTTTCAAATATACTGTAATGAAAATCTAATTTTATTGTTACTTTGGATTGTTGACAAGCTAGAAACATGTTTACGTATTTCTTTAATGTGTTTTTTTTTTCGAAGAAAACTGAAACTAAAATAGTGGTTTACGCATGATTTGATCAACATCTGAATTCAAGTATCAAAATAGTAATGCACAGTGAATAGTATAAAAATTACACTATACGGCAAAAAATTGCCGCGATAAAATCCACGGCATTTTGTTCTCCCTCTACGGCAATTGCCGCGATAAAATTCAAGCCCTGTTCTAAACTGTTCTCTTCTCCGCAGGATATTCATATGCCTCAATCGTAAGTATATCAACGAGTTCACGGAAAAGTTAATTTCTCAGAAACGCTTGGCCCTTGATCCGGAGCGACTCCGTTGGACTCCCCTGGTTCATGCGACCGCCGTCGTCGCGGAACAAACTTCCGAGAAAGAACAGCAGGACAAAAAACGTAAACAATCTGAGGGGGAAGAAACCGTAGAGGTCGATGTCATCGGGGACCAAAAACCCGATGGTGATTCTCCCGGTAGGGTGGAAACCCGCGGTGGGGCCAAACCTCCGGCAGTGGTAAAAAATGGCAGAAGTAGTAGCGAAGACGAGGAGGTCGTGCGACCAAGGAAACGATCTCGAAAAGCGATTGATGAAAGCGAGTCGGAGAAGGCATCGGACGACGAAGACAAGCCGATGGATGTCGAAGATGAACCCGAAGGTGAAACGAAAGATGGCGAGGTTGAACCGGAAGTGAATGGTTTGCTGGAAGTCGCAGTATCGCCGGAAGTTGAAGATTTGCCGGAAGTTGAAGATTTGCCGGAAGTTGAAGATTTGCCGGAAGTTGAAGATTTGCCGGAAGTTGAAGATTTGCCGCAGATCGAAGGGAGTGATCGAGTGGAGACTGGGGCTGACGGGAAGAGTCGAAGTAGTTCCGTTTCTCTCCGAAGTAACGCGAGCGATGACGAATCCTCGTCGGACGAAAGCGATGATTCATCTAGCACTTCATCGTCATCATCTTCCGATTCCTCGTCGAGCAGTGACGAAGGTGACGCGAAGTCCGCCGAGCGGAAGAAAAGTCCGCTATTTGATACGTTCCGAAAGGCAAGTTTACTGAACCTAAACTAAACTAACTTTATTTATACTGGATAGCTCTACAGTTCTAAACTGTTTTAGGTCCAGTAAGGATAGTTTGTTATTGATCCAGTGTTACCACAGGAGGAAACCTAAACTAAACTAACTTTATTTTTACTGGATTATAACTCTATCAGTTCTAAACTGTTCTCCCTAGAGGTCCACTAAGGTTCATCTCTTATTGATCCAGTGTTACTACAGGAGGAAACCTAAACTAGACTAACCTTAACTTACTAAACTAACGTTATTCGTATTATACTATCTAGCCAATCAAACCCACGACAGATCCAGTGCTGACCGGAGTTAAAGACGCACCCTCGGAACTTGGTATCCCGGCGGAAAATATCCAGGAAGAAGCAACCGGGGTGTTTGGCCTCCCAGCTCAAGAGGAGGAGGCATTCGACCTGGGGGACACGCCATCCCTTCAGGAGTTCCTTGGCGGAGACATTATTAGTACTGGGGACGACCTTACTGGAGACAGTCTACTGGAGGAAGTGAGTGATGTTTATTATGATGAGACCGCAGGTGATGATGGGAAGGAATTGGAATAGACCAATCAAGTAAGCTGCTAGTTCATGGTATAGATTACGTGTCCAAATGACGCGTTGGAATGAAATTTGAAGTTGAACCTGGTAACTGTGACTGGTAGAATTCATGTCAAAGTATTCAAGTTTTCAATCATTTAGTTGTATTCACATATAGCCACAACATATTAACTGTCTGTTAACAATAAAACTTTATTGTAGCATATTTTGTATTCTGGCAAAATAAAGAAAGGTGGACTAAGGGGCTGTTTATATGGTCCCGCTTACCCGGGATTCAATGAAGTGTGAAGCATTTTGAGCAATTGAAATAAGTCGCACTTCATCATCTAACTGACAAAATTGGTTGTTACAAATTTTATGAAATTCCATGTTTTAGACAAAAGACAAATGTTGTTGAATGCTATTAATCGTCTTCTTTCACTACATAACTTCTAGCGCGTTCCTAATTTCGTTTAAACAATATTTAAAGTTATCTAACTTTTGTTTAGGGCTGAAAAGTGTATTTCAATTGCTCAAAATACATCACACTTCATTGAATCCCGGGTAAGCGGGACCATATAAACAGCCCCTTAATGAAATATTTTTTGTGATTTGAGCAAAGTCAACCGTCCAAAAACAATGGACCTTTAACCTTATAACTAAAATTTTGATCTAGACAAAAATTTCATCACAGCTTGAAAGAGCATCACAAAATTAGTAATATTCCAAAGTTTCGTTACGAAATGTTGTAAAATGCGGATAATATAGCCTTGCGAAGTTTGCAATTTTCAGTCATTTTAGATAATCGGGTGTTTGGGTATCAATTTCCCGTTTGTAATCTAAAATGACTGAAAATTGCAAACTTCGCAAGGGCTATATTATCCGCATTTTACAACATTTCGCAACGAAACTTTGGAATATTACTAATTTTGTGATGCTCTTTCAAGCTGTGATGAAATTTTTGTCTAGACTTGTCTAGATCAAAATTTTAGTTATAAGGTTAAAGGTCCATTGCAGTTCCATTATGGCTATATGTAAAACACAAATGAGTGATTGGAGACTGTGAGATGCCTATTTTAAATGTTCCACAGTCTCGGTTACATGTTATGATTGCAAATATTATCCTCAGAAGCGTAATTTGAAGATGCATGAACCGTTCAGAATTTATCTATCGACTTTGTTACGTAACATTGAGAAAAAACGATTTAAGTTTTCAAGTCTTTTGTAATATTTAAGTATTTATTCTAGACGTTTTCAAAAAGCAAATAACTTATATAATTTCTATATGAAACATGGCTTATTATTTCAAAACATTCTTAAGACACAAAGCAATCCGATTTACATATATATATATACGACATAGTATTTCATTTCTATTTTTTTTTTGTGAAACCTTGTTCTACACATTAGCATAAATTATTAAAATATAATTACTTGTGCACACTGTTGGAAATTGGTTTAATAAGCTAGACAATAGGAATAGCATTCTGTTTTCTAATAAAAGGCAAATGTTTATACTTTATCTCAAATATGGCAATCCAGTTGTACAGGTGTCAACAAATCCGTTAATCTTCTCCCTTGTTTTATGTTTCTAAAATACGGCCATAGTTGTATCCTTTCTATTACCACCACCACCCCCCCCCCGGAGATATTAGGGAGTTTAAGCTTCACGTTTCCGGGAACGGCAGGTTCGAACTTTCTTGGCAAAATTTTCGTTGAACGTTTTCGTTTCCTATTTTCTTTCTTGCGTCGAAAGAATAACTATGTATTTCAGTTTTAAAACAGCAAGTTCATTTCCTCTTTATCGTCTGATACCGTAAAATTTTCTTTGCCTGGCGTTTGCCGTTTGACGTATAACGCGAAGCTTAAACTCTCTATTATTCTATTACTCCATCCCTCTTGTCTTCTTCGCGAATACGATGACGCAACGTTGGCTGAACGTGCGCAGATTTAATCTTTCTACTGTTCTCCATCAACTTTTTCCATCTATTCTGCGCACGCGTGGACATTAATCTCAACATGGTCTTTCTTCCCGTCCGTTCGTTAACATCGCTGGAGACGCGATCATCTTTTCCCTGTAAGCGAAGCATTGTTTTCCTTACTTGTCCTTCGATAACATCGCCCGAGAACCGTTCATCGTGCTCTTTGATGACGCATTGCAAATGCTTTATATAATCCACGGCGTATCGGAGCGTTTCGACTTTCGAAAGCCGTTTCTTTCCGTGCGCAAATGGAATTTTTTGTCGTAAACATGTGAAGCCCTCGTTGACAAGCCGAACCCGATTCCTTTCTCTTTCGTTCCGTCTTGTCACGGCCGACGTGTCGGAGGTAAACGAAATGTTTGGACACATGTCGTCGCGTGTGCGTGATGCAGTATTTTCTGCGCTGAAATCGTAGCGATCCGCTTTGAAACTTGAGTCCTGCGAATTTTCCATCCTCGCTTATTTTTGTGCTTGAAACACACCTTCCTATAGTTTCCAGAATCAATTACGTTGTTGCTGTTATTGTCTCTAAGCAAGTATATATTGCGAATATATTTGTAGCAAATATATATAGCAATCAGCTCCAAACCGTTGCAAAAAGTCTTCAAACAAATATATACGCGTCGATGTAACACAGGCGAAAGTTAAATTAATTTTGTAACAACAATACTTGAAGCAAGAATAAATACAATATACTATAGCAAGCCCAACAGCCGATTATTAAATAAAAATATTTGCCCAAAGTAGCGTGTGAATTTGGAACACGATTAACAACTGTTAATTCGAAACGAATCGATTGTTTACAGTGAGAAAATGATTAATTTAACTTGCCAGATGACCTGCTAAAAAAGACCGTCAACTTTTAAGCCAAAACGCGCGGCTTAACTCGAAAACAGTTGTTTTTCGCGTTAAAACAAAGCGTTTGCGCTTGGGGAAACACTTTCAAGTTTTCAAGTGTTTTGAATGAACAGTTTGGCAAGATAAGCAAAGATAAACAATCTAAGCGCAAAGTAAATCGATTGAATATTTACTGGTTGCGTGAGCAAAAACTAATAATGCATGAACGAAATTGAAATTGTTTTAATATCTTTTTAATTAAAACAAAGTGTTTTCAAGGTAACGCTACCTTGTATTAAATTTGGACAGCGTTACAAAATTGGAAGAGTGCCGCCATTGTGACTTTACTAAACACAACAGGTTTTCTCTTGTAGTAACACTGAACCAGGGAGAGATATCTATTTGTCCATTACATAGAAATTTGTTTTAGGTTTCCTGTCTTTGAAACACTGCACTTGTCGCAAACCTGCTGTTGTCACAATGGCAAAACTAGCCCGGCAAAACAAGACGAACGTTTGCTAATTTCTCCAATTGTCATCCAGATTTAACCAAAATTTAATCAATTTGTCTTTGGGCAATGTTCATTTGTGCCACACATTTTCGTGTTAATACGTTTGATATTTTTCAAATTATCGCCCTGAGAGACAATGCAAATACGAAACATAGACCACGTGTTCATTCGTGGATACCAACGACGGCAGTCGGTGTGTACAAATCATGTACTGTAACTTAAAGTACTCAACAAATGAATACCGCTAACCACATGTATTGACATATTCGTATCCAATATGGCGTACAGAAATGTTGTTAGAAATCCAAGATTACAAGCGAGAATTTTTCTCCCGGAATGGTTTCTGAAATGCGTTAGGCCTACGAAAGAAGTTCCCGATAACGTGGCTGTATTTCATGTTCCGATGGAGTAAGTTTTTTTTAATAATGCTTCTATAATTTTTGCACATATTTCACGTATTTTGTACAAGTTTTTGAAACATGTTTTAAAAAAACAACATGTTTTAAAATACTTTAATTATATAATACCGACCTATGCAATCGATAATCAATGGTCAATAAAATCGATATCAAATCAGATTTATATTAATTCAAATGATCTCGATTAATAGTAATATTGAAAACTAAATAGTATCAATTACTGTATTGATAAATTGATTATCAATAAAATCAATAGTTTAATTGTGATCATCGATCAATATCGATGAGCAAATGCGGCAAGCAATAAATATAGATTCATTTGATAGCAATTGGTCATCAGTCATTGATTTGATTGCAATTGGTCATCAGTCATTGATTTGATTGGCTATCTGATCATTGATTTTCATTGATTGTATAGGCCAGGATAATATATGAATTTCCATGCTCTATTAATCAATTCCAGGATGTCACGACTAGACGTCAAGAACTACTTGCAAAGCATCTATCAAATAAATGTATCCAAGGTTAACGTCAGGATACAAACAGGTCAGTCTGGTTATAAAAGAACCCTTCTCGAAAGTACATCATCTTCATTATTGAGCCTTGTTTTAGGTGCGGGCTTTAAAGATGATGTCCACTCCATTCTACGCATCAGTTCTGCTCATAACAAAGGGGGACCCCTAGATATAAACATTGCCCAAATTTTGCATCTTTCGAACTTTTTTGAATTGAAACGTAGAGTTTATATTCATTTACAAGCATGGCGAACCAGAAAAGGGTTAGATATTCAGTTAGTATATCATATTTTACAAATAGAGCAGTTCAACACGTAAACAAAGTTTGCACATGCACACACGAGTGGACATCATCTTTAACTAATATTACTTACATGAAAAGGAGGCTCTATTCAGGCTGTCCAAAATTGTGGTAACCAAACCTGGGTTACCGCAAAGGTGATCTTGCACTAACCCAATTTTCTGCCACAAGTCATTTTGGACAGTAACTTATATTTTGGCTTATATTGTCCATAATCCATATTAACCCATTGGGTCGCATTGCACCCTGATGCACCCTACTTTAGTATTTTACTCTGTCTAACGCCAGACAATTTTACTCGTCAAGGGGAGAGCACTGGTGCTTAATGGGTTAACGCTATATGTTTATTTGTAGGTAAAGCTGAACGGGTCATGATGAAAAATGGAGCTGTCAAATTGCAACGACATCCTGACATCAAAGTTGCTTATGTGACAATGGTAAATATACATTGCTGGCATTTTATTTTACTTCAAACATGGAGACCAGTGTATGTAGTATTCTACAATAAGCTGCCGTGGTTTGTGTCTGAAGAACATATTCCGAATGTACGCCTTTTGTCTCAAGGTTATTTTGAAGATGCTTTTGCTCCACGTTTTTATGATCTGTTTTGGGTACCGATAGTTCAGACAGAAATCACAGCAAATGTATAATTATATGGACTCTAATTTCATTTTCCTAGGCTGATACCAAGTTTAAGTTTCCTGAGCTGTTTGTAAAGTCAGACAAAAAGTCGCCTCTCGAAGATCTTCCTACTGACAAGAAACCAGAAGAATTCAGATGGTTTTAGTTTGGCTGCTGGCTAACTTATGCAGCGGATGTGAAGGTGAACTTCGAGTAATTGCACTTCGCTCTTTTCCTGACAGAAAGGCTGCATTGGAGGCAAAGAAGGACAAGAACAATTAATTCCAAGAAGGACAGATCTCAGCATCTTGTGGAAAAGAACAATTAAAGCTTGTTATGGCTTAGGGAGTCAGAAAAAAACATTGGCAATGTATGATTCATTCACAAATAAAATATATGCCTGTATAGTGTACACATGTTTATGCCACTTGCCGTCTATAGTACCAGATAGTAGTCTACCGGATACCGGTCAGGAGAAAATGATGACCGGATAATAACCAGATACTCCCATACAATAATTTATTAGAAGCACAACATTTTTATAGCTTAATTAACTAGTCCAATGTGGCAATGTGTTTAATACACATTTTTTGTCTCATTGACATATTTGTCTTTACCAAGGCCATATATTCACCTTACTGGTATTCAGTACATAAAATTCACTGCTGTTGGCGAACGAACAGTTCACATCACCATCACGAAAAAAATATGTCGTAATTTCGTCATATGTTTTGTTTGTGTTTCACAATTTGTAAATGCCAAGCAAACTTTTCCGTTTCATGGTTGTAAAAAAATATCTTACAGTACTATCCGGTAAATATCTGGCAAATTTATGCTGGATAGTGCCAGATGTCTAAATTTTACCAGTATCGGGATCCGGCACATCCCTATAGTGTATGCATGCATGTTTATGCCATTTTTTCGTGATTTTTGCATGGTCTATTTTCACACAGAAGATTGAGTTTAATCTTGATATCCACCATCGTTCTGTACCTGGTTTGCTGTTGACTGAAATCTGTGATAAATGCAGGGTACTTGGTTTGCCTATGGTTATAATATCTTGAGGATTTGCCATCCTTTTTGCGGTGGAGTCTGTCTTCACACTGATGGCAATTGCATTTGAAAGGTGAGAGTTTTTTTACTTGATTAATAATTAACTTTTTTATACTGGGTCCATAACATTCAAAAGGATCATTCAGTATCAAGCACAGGATGTGAACTAAAGCAACTTTATTTATACAGGATATATAGGTCTATAAGTGCTAAAAGCATTTTTCAATGGGCTAGATTTGAATAATTTTTTCTTGAGGAAACAAAAAAGAAGAAAAAATTTTATTATCAATCAAGGAAAATGTAAAAAGAGATAATATAAGTATTTAGTTGCCTGTGTAGTAATAGTAGAGCTAAGTTTTAAAAGCAAAACAAAGTTTAAAAAAAAGTAAACAATTTTTACAGTATAAAAATAGAACAAACAGACATAGAAATACAAACAGATGGACAAGCAGACTATACAGGAACAAACATATGGACAAACAGATTATATAGCAACAAACATATGGACAAACGGATTATACAGGAGTAAACAGACGGACAAACAGATTATACAGGGACAAACAGATGGACAAACAGATTATACAGGAGCAAACAAACGGACAAACAGATTATACAGGAGCAAACAGACGGACAAACAGATTATACAGGAGCAAACAGACGGACAAACAGATTATACAGGAGCAAACAGACGGACAAACAGATTATACAGGGACAAACAGACGGACAAACAGATTATACAGGGACACACAGACGGACAAACAGACTATACAGGGACAAACATATGGACAAACAGATTATATAGGAGTAAACATATGGACAAACAGATTATATAGGAGTAACCAGATGGACAAACAGATTATACAGGAGCAAACATATGGACAAACAGATTATATAGGAGTAAACAGACGGACAAACAGATTATACAGGAGCAAACAAACGGACAAACAGATTATATTGGGGCAAACAGACGGACAAACAGATTATACAGGAGAAAACAGACGGACAAACAGATTATACAGGAGTAAACAGACGGACAAACAGATTATACAGGAGCAAACATATGGACAAACAGATTATACAGGAGCAAACAGACGGACAAACAGATTATATTGGGGCAAACAGATGGACAAACAGATTATATTGGGGCAAACAGACGGACAAATAGATTATACAGGAGTAAACAGACGGACAAACAGATTATACAGGAGTAAACAGAGGAACAAACAGATTGTACAGGAGTAAACAGACGGACAAACAGATTATACAGGAGCAAACATATGGACAAACAGATTATACAGGAGCAAACAGACGGACAAACAGATTATACAGGGACACACAGACGGACAAACAGACTATACAGGAGCAAACATATGGACAAACAGATTATATAGGAGTAAACATATGGACAAACAGATTATATAGGAGTAAACAGATGGACAAACAGATTATACAGGAGCAAACAGACGGACAAACAGATTATACAGGAGCAAACATATGGACAAACAGATTATATAGGAGTAAACAGACGGACAAACAGATTATACAGGAGTAAACAGACGGACAAACAGATTATACAGGAGCAAACATATGGACAAACAGATTATACAGGAGCAAACAGACGGACAAACAGATTATACAGGGACACACAGACGGACAAACAGACTATACAGGAGCAAACATATGGACAAACAGATTATATAGGAGTAAACATATGGACAAACAGATTATATAGGAGTAAACAGATGGACAAACAGATTATACAGGAGCAAACAGACGGACAAACAGATTATACAGGAGCAAACATATGGACAAACAGATTATATAGGAGTAAACAGACGGACAAACAGATTATACAGGAGTAAACAGACGGACAAACAGATTATACAGGAGCAAACATATGGACAAACAGATTATACAGGAGCAAACAGACGGACAAACAGATTATATTGGGGCAAACAGATGGACAAACAGATTATATTGGGGCAAACAGACGGACAAATAGATTATACAGGGACAAACAGACTGACAAACAGATTATACAGGAGTAAACAGACGGACAAACAGATTATACTGTTTGCCCCTGTATGATCTGTTTGTCCGTCTGTTTGACCCTGTATAATCTGTTTGTCCATCTGTTTGTCCCTGTATAATCTGTTTGTCCGTCTGTTTGTCCCTGCATAATCTGTTTGTCCGTCTGTTTGTCCATGTGTAATCTGTTTGTCCGTCTGCTTGCTCCTGTATAATCTGTTTGTCCGTCTGTTTGTCCCTGTATAATCTGTTTGTCCGTCTGTTTGTCCCTATATAATCTGTTTGTCCGTCTGTTTGTCCCTGTATAATCTGTTTGTCCGTCTGTTCCACCCTGTATAATCTGTTTGTACGTCTGTTTGTCCCGGTATAATCTGTTTGTCCGTCTGTTTGCTCCTATATAATCTGTTTGTCCGTCTGTTTGTCCCTGTATAATCTGTTTGTCCATATGTTTGCCCTGTATAATCTGTTTGTCCGTCTGTTTGCTCCTGTATAATCTGTTTGTCCGTCTGTTTGCCCCTGTATAATCTGTTTGTCCGTCTGTTTGCTCCTGTATAATCTGTTTGTCCGTCTGTTTGCCCCTGTATAATCTGTTTGTCCGTCTGTTTGCCTCTGTATATCTGTCCAAGATGGTTAGCACTTTTTTCCATCCAGCAAACCGCCCTATCGATTTTGTAAAGTCGTTTCTTTTTGGATTTTTTTATTAATTCGGTTAGGGTTAGAGTTAGGGTTGAGGTTAGGGTTAGGGGTTAGAGTAGGGGTAGGGTTTGGGTTAGTTACATAGCCATTTAACACCTGCGAAAATGACGTCAGGTCAGTTTGCTGGATGGAAAATAGTGCTAACCGTCCAAGATGGCGATGTTCAAAGGGCGAATAATTTTTCATGGTCCATTTTTCAAACGTATCTTCCGAATGAAGCGTTTTACAGGCATGCACTTTTGTACAGAACCTGCCAAGGACTTCTCCAGTGTGCTGTTAAAAAATCGAGGCCATATCGATGTTTTTGGCGAAGATTCAGTTAAGTTTCTGCAAGGGCTTTTGACAAACGACGTGAACCTTTTTCACTGCGATAGTCTCATGACCTCGATATTTGCTATGATGTTGAATACAAAAGGGCGTGTGTTATACGATCTTATTTTATATAAACAGAAGCAAGAAACCCCAGGATTTTTGATTGAATGTGATTTACAGGCTGTTGGGAGCATTTTAAAAACTTTTAAGCCGTACAAATTGAGGTCCAAGGTATCATTCAGTGACGTTACCGACAAGTTTAACTCTTGGGCTGTTGTGGATGAAGGGGCCATTGCAGGTTTGAAAAGGACCGGACAGGACGATGTGATTTTAGTTGAAGATCCGAGGATCGTGTCGCTTGGCGCGAGGTTGGTTTTGCCGAAAAGCAAAGGAGCAGCGGAGTACTTCAGTAATGTTAAAGAGATCAGTGATGAAGCTGTTTATGACAGGCATAGGGTGAGATTGGGCGTTGCTGAGGGGGTGCAGGATATTGAGCCTGGGACACCCTTGCCACTCGAGTATAATATTGCTGAGTTGCATGGAGGTTAGTGTGATAGATGACTTGATTTTTGCAAAGTCTGTGTCGTGGACATGTCTGACACAACTGTCGATGTTGACGCACAAATCGGTGCAGAATAGCTCATTGTGTTGTCTATTGGGTTATTCCAGAAAACATCCAATACCACCCCCACAGAGGAAATTGGAAGTTAACCCTCCTACCACCTTCAGATGTCCTAACACATTTCCTACTATCAGAAACAATTTTTTCTCCCCTCCCCCTCCGGATGGCAGAAATTCCATCTGTGTGGGGAGTGTGGATCTTTTCTGGAATGACCCATTGTGATATCTTTTTAACACAGAAATGGCACACAATTCTCAAAGGCCATGTAAAAAGTCTGTAATGTAAACAAATGCTTTGTTTACATTTTGATCTCAGTGCTACAGTTGTAAAATATGATTAGATATATATGAATTTTTAACACTCTTCTGGTTTGCTATGCTTGTAAATGAATACAGACTAAAGATTAAATTCAAGAAAGTTTGGCAGGTGCGAAATATTAATAACATTCCAATGGTCAGGTCCCGACCATTGGCATGTACCATTGGAATGTAGGCCTGCACAGAACGTTGTCTTTGCCTAATTTCCCCCAACAGATTGTTCATCTCTGGTGTAAATCGAACTGATACCTCATGAAGATAGCATGTAGAAGGAGGATGTTAATAATTTCTGTTTATTTTTTCTAGTATCATTTCAAAAAGGGTGCTACGTAGGACAGGAATTGACCGCAAGGACGTACCATACTGGGGTAATACGAAAACGACTCGCGCCTATAAAACTAAAACAAACATCTAACAAGGAACAGTTCCTCATTGACAAAGGCACTGCCATTAAGACAACAAGTGGGAAACGAGCTGGCAAGCTAATTAGCGTTTATGGAGACCTTGGTCTAGGTTTAATGCGGATTGACGTTGTTAATTCTGCCGATGGACTGATAATTGCATCAACCGATGGTAGTGAAGTTGGCGTCACTGTAGATTGGCCAACATGGTGGAATTTGGAATGACATATATTTCTGTTTAAAACATTTATCTAGCTTGTAAAAAATAGAAATTTCTGTAATATATTATATAATTATAATAATCATAGTTTGTTTCACTTGTTGTTTACATAAAGTACTCTACCGTGCGTTTCTTGTCGTACCGCTGGTAAAAGCACCACTTATCCAACATGGCGGCAAGAAGGCTAATAGTTGATAACGGTGCTTCGTCGATAAAAGTTGGCTTTAACGACACCGAAAGTCCAAGGTAAACCATCGCATTTGCCAGAGCAGGTTCGTGTCTGTCTTTCTGAGAAGTTTGACTTGATATACTGGTGTTTTTTGTATTTTAGAGTGATCCCAAACAGCGTGTTTAAGGTGAAAAGTGAACGGCGTAAAGTGTTTGTTGGGGATCAAATTGATGAATGCAAGGATTATTCTGGACTTTTCTATGTTCTAGCTTTTCAAAAGGTGATAGTTGATCATTTTGTGTTAGGAGTAGAAAACACACAGACTGCGTACTGAAGTCAGATTTGGTCATTTAGATATTTATTTGGGATACTGTGAATTTGCAAGCTTTGGGGGCTTCTAACGCATGTGTGAATCATTATGTAGTGTTTGCTTTGATTCGTCATATTCAGACGGTATATTTAACATGATTTTTGGCCAGACTGCAGAATTGGGCAGTTTTCAACAAGATCTCTCGGGTGCAATTGTGCAAAAGCTATAAAAATCTAGGGGCTGGGGCGCAAAACAGTATCAAAGCATGGCTTGTAATAAATTTACGTGCTGTTTCCACAAACAAAAAGTATTATACATGGAGAGTAACTTCTGACTATTCAATTCTTGTTATTAGGGTTTATTACTCAATTGGGGAGTCGAAAAACAAGTATGGGATTACGTCTTTGGTAAAGACGCTTTGAAGGTATAACCTCAAATGGTCGATCTGTGCTAGTGTACAATGATCAGGGTCTGAGCAAAATCCTGATATCCATGGGATACTAAAATTTGGTGTTGGATGCCAAACTGTGAATGACATATCCCAACTGGATACTAAGAAAATTTCAAACATTAGGAAAATGTTAAGCACTTCTGAGTTGTGACCTCAACAGACTTGTACCAAGCTTGTTAACAAGTTGCGGCAAGCTCGTTAACAACTTGTGACAATGCTGTTCCAACAACTTGTCAACAAGATGTATCCTCAACAGGCTTGTAGCAAGCTTGTTAACAACAGGCTTGTAGCAAGCTTGTTAACAAGTTGTGACAATGCTGTTCCAACAACTTGTCAACAAGATTTATCCTCAACAGGCTTGTAGCAAGCTTGTTAACAAGTTGTGACAATGCTGTTCCAACAACTTGTCAACAAGATTTATCCTGAACAGGCTTGTAGCAAGCTTGTTAACAAGTTGTGACAATGCTGTTCCAACAACTTGCCAACAAGATTTATCCT